AATTTCAAATACTTTAATTTCACCAAAGCTGAAGATCGGAGGGCTGATCTTAGGGGTAGGCGAGCTGGGCGACTGCCCATAGCGCCGATGTATCATGAACACCATCAGAGTTAATAATTTATATAGCTCAATAAAGATTTAAATACGACATATGTAATGTTTTCCAGTATAATTTTATCAAGATGTGATGATAAAAATAGAATTTTAATTATTAAAAAAGATACAATGATATTTTAAAATAGGTGAAAAATATGTATTATATTTTACCTTCCGCTAACCAAAAAAAACAATTCAAAAATTACTCCATTAATATAATATTAAATATACGCTAGCATATTAATGCTACAACGATCAAACGCAGTTTTTTATAACAAAATAACTAGTTGTATAGTTTTTGATAAAATATAATAACAGCTAAAAATTAAAAAATGTATTAAAATAGCTCATCATAAATAATCGCAGTATTACAAATTATTGTTAACCAGTAAAAAGGTGTGAAAATCTTAATTCAAAATTTAAAATTTAGGTATGTCTTTGAAAATACACTAACCGTCTAATATATTTTGAATAAAGTTGTAATGAACTTTGTTTGTTGTCTTGGATATATTCGCTTGAATATTAACTTGTATATTTGATTACAAATTTTGAATTAGTTTAATTCTATACTTCGTGAAAAACATTAATTTATCGTAATCCTATATTTTCGTATGGATATTTGCATCACATAATATATTTATAAAAAATTGTTTGATATATTCGATAATTTTCTAACTAAGTGAACTTCATAAGGATAAAAAATAAATGGAAGATATTATAAAACACAATAACGGCATTGCGCCAAAACGATCGAATAATCCAGAGCCGACGGACGAAGATCCTCAACCAGACGTCCGAGTTATGAAACAGATTTAACAGCTCCGCGGCAAACACCAGTTAACATCACTGACTTCGGCGCATTTTAAGGTGTTGGACACACTAATCGACGAGTTACAAGTGGCGGCAACTCGAAGGTCGAACAATTTACTGCCTGTTTCACTATTTCCAAATGACGACCGGTCGTCGTCGAGTTTTAGCGACAAGACTGTGACGTCGTCGAAAATACATAGACGATGGACTAGAACAAATATATCGAAAAACTGTTCCAGGATCTTCCAGGAAATTAATAATGCCAGTTCGGAGATTGGAAAGCACTTACCTTACCGCCGATACCTTTATGTCTGCAAGGAAATGCACCAAGCCGCAAGATTGGAGATTCTTTGGTGTCTCCTACAGAGATGACCACCGAGGATGTCGAGAAGATCCATTTGTCACCAGTTTCTAGCCGTTTGGGAGACGCACAGGGACAGGAGTTGTCGTGTGCGCGAATCGGCGTATTAGATGTCAAGATGGTTCTACGTAACGGTGCTGAAAGTGACGGTGACGAGCTGGATGAAGCCACTACGGAAGAAATAAAATCAGTGTCATTAGCAGAACAAGCACGATCCAAACATCATAGGCCGTTCCTATCGGCATTAAGAAGGCGACTTCCTAAGGTCTGTAGAAGTTTGTGCTGCTGGCGTTGCAAATAACGATAGTAGTAGAGAGACGATGGTGAGCTTGATTGACTGTGTAAGAATACAAGTAAATCGTTTGAAAAACCGTTGACCTGCAGTACTGTGGTTTATATACCACACGTCATTGACAACCCTGTAATCAAGGCATTTATCCAGTGTTTGATATTATTTATTATGATATAAATGTTGCGCCTAATATTTACAGAGTTTATTATTAATGTATTTGTATTAAAAAAAAATTATTTATAAAATATATATAATAGGTAATATACCTATATAATATTTAGTTATGTTATATTTATCAAATGTAAATTAAATCTGTTCCGTGTTGCTATGTAAAAAAATAAAAGTTACTTATTTACAAAAAAAAAAAAAAAAATGGGTAATTAAATTAACCGATAGGCGGTAGGTGTATAAGATAAATCAATTTAAACGCAATGATTCAAATATTTAAGTAGTGTATGTGTATTTAATAAAATGTATATCTGCGAAAACAAGTTAGGTAGTCGAAGCTTTTAGTATAATTATAGTGTACCATATGAGAAATTATAGTGAAAAATAAACTATAACTTACAACTTATAAATGAATATTATAATTGTAATTATATTTTAATGGCGTGTTCACACTATTTTAGTACTTATATTTTACTATTTTAATATATACATAAATATAACAATATATAAAATATATCCTAGACGGCTAGGCACGTTTGTCATCAAATATAATACCACTATAAATATAGCTACATTTTAATTACTAAGTAAAAATTTATAACAATATTACAATAATAAAATCTTTCGGCCTGCTCATGCTGAAGTAGTCTCGTTTCATCGCTCGCTGCGTCGGTAAAGTAAAATATTATTGTCGTTGACACAAAAAAAAAAAGTTTTAAAGATTCACAAATTATCAATAATAAACGAAAATAAATTTTATAATTTTAAAACTATATAATTTTTTATCCTAAAAAAAAAAATTTGAAGTAAAAAATTTAATTGTTATTGATTTATTGTTTAAATTGGCAATATTTTAATAGGTACTTAGAAGATTTTGTTAGTTACAAATTTTTGTCATAATTACTCGTACATTAAAAATTTTCATTACCGCATACAATGTTTTTCAACATTACATATAGGAAGTTTTCAAATGGCGATTGATGTCACTTATGATGAAAGGATTATGAATAATTTTATAAAAATAAAATTACTTGATAAATTATTTTATCGATCAACTGAGACTATTTGGTCATTTTTATTTCAGAAAAAAATTACGATGAAAATTTGATTGTTACAAAAAAAAAAAAAAAAGAATGTTTATTTAAAGTATTTTAACTACCTATCAACATTCTTAAGTATTTTGTTATAATTAAGTAACAAGTAGTAATAATTGGCAATATCCCTTTTTTTGATTTAAAACAAATAATTAATTTATTAGTTATTACAGTCTTATAAAAGTTTAAAATACCTAAAATCAATAATACTAATAAGCATTCATCGAATAACAGTTACTAATATTACTTTATAAATTTAATTTAACATCAATTTTTGTTAAAATTATCATAAATTTGATTATTATCAACAAAAAAAAATCTCTACATGCCAAATGTCATACACGATGCTACCACCCATTGCGTACAGTACTTCCTAGGTAATTTTGACCAAATTTTTAATCGCGTACGTGATATTATACAAACGATTCATAGTAGGTAACACAATGCAGGTCGTGCAGGGCCGGTCTTAGAGAAGGGCAAGCTGGGCGACCGTGGCCCAGGGTACCGATGTATCATGGGCGCTTTCAAAGTTCAGATATTAGTTTTCAATAATAGTTTTTGTAATTCAAATATTTTTAAATAATTCGAGTAAAATTATCAACAATTAATGTATAGAAAAAATTTTAATTTTTCTTGGAATAGTAAAAAGTTCAATTATTTATCTCGATTGAAAAAAAAAAGATAGTTTGATTACGATTAAATTTAAATTTTTATTCGCTTCTTGGTATACTGTATACAGCTCTGATTGTCATCGAAGACCATTTTGAGCAAACAGAATCCCACAAAAATATTTGAGGATTTTTATATTAATTTGATAAGTTACCAGAAAAAATAGAACTTCTTACTTACTGCATGAATCAGATCATATTCTAACATTGTCAGAAGGCCGACAATCAGATGTTAATAGCGTAGACCTCGCAAATTAATTAATTCATCTTCGACAATTTTTACCAGTAGAATATAAGGCATTAAAAGAGACAAAAGTACCTAATAAGTCCTAGTATCAAGTAACTGTAAAAGTTTGTTATTTAAGTCTCGAAATATGCTCAATGGTCGTTTACACAGGAACAACAATAAAATTATGATAACTTGTTAACTGTAAATAGAAAATGTTTATATTTGTAAAATATTGTATAGTACTTACCTATAACCACAGAATACAAACTATAATATAGTCTGAAAGTCTGTGGACTGTGGTACAAAATATGTACAATCATTACCTATTACTTATACATGGCATTACTAATATGTAGGTAGGTAATAGGTACTAAAGGTAGGTACGTCATATGAGACTACGGGAGGATTTGGAGAAAATTATGAAACGATAAGAAATTATAAATATTATAATATCTATTACAATAAAATAACTATTATCGAAATGTAAAAACCCACAAGGTCAAAAAATCATTTATAAAACAGTAGTATAAGTATTAAGTAGCAATACTGCAGCTAATAATTGCTAATTAGTAATTTACTATTATAAACTATACTTTGAAAATTTAACTATACATTGTCGAGATCTATAACTCTGGAGACGTCGATTTAAGACCTGAATACCTGAATATAATTTTTTTTTTTTTTTTATTAAATTTTTCATTGTCTATTCTTACTAATCTTGGTATTCGTATAAACAAATTATTAATTACAGTAATTGGTGATTCGTGATCACTGATCGTTTCGTTATCATTCCAGTTATAAACATTTTGCAAGTAAATATTATTAATAATCTCAACTAATAATCCAATTTTAAAGTAAAAACAAATAATGTACTGTTCGCGTACACTGAACTCGCCTAATACTACATAAAGTTAATTGACTACAGACTACCAGACTACAGTACAATACTAGAATACTGTATAGTACTAGTACATTTTCACTTCAGCCGGGTAAGAATAAAGTATTAAGATAATAGTGCAACGAAAACTGGAAAACCAAAGTAACATCAACATTATTTTTGTGCCGTGATTTTAATCAGAAAACATTATAATCCATTTTCGGTATTAGTTTGTTTGGCTAATAAAAGCACTTTGCCTCCATGATTTTTAATTTTTTACTTGCATAATGCATATCGATGTGTAATATTGTTTTATCATTTTAATTAGCGGCATTGATATTTGACAATAAGTTGGTACTACAGGCAATTTTTTTTATCACAGACTGATAAGAAACATATTTACTATTTAGTATTAGTTTATGAAAAATTTAAATTATCGAATTACTTGAATTAATTCTATATAATTTTAAATTTGAACATCCGTCGACAACCATTGACAATTTATTTCAGTTTCAGCGTTTAGGCAACTTCCGTATTCCATTTTTAGATCAAAATATTATTAGGATCGAACGTGAAAACTATAATACAAATTCCAAGTTCTCATGCCAACTCTAGTACTCTACTATACTATAATATAATATAGAACTACTGACGAGATTTACTGTTCTAATATATTTTAGTACTTAGGTACTTAGTATTTATATAAATATTTTTTATTTATTCCTAATTTTCTTTTGATGTGTTTCTTATTTACTCAGTTTTAGACTGACAGTGCAAACATCAAAATGGCAACTCCAAACAACAATAATGCAACTGATGAAGAAAAAATTGATCCAATGAAAGATGTACGTGCTGGAATAGTACGTGAAGTGGGTGGTCAAGCAATATGGAGTCTATCTTCATGCAAACCTGGTAAAATAAAAAGTGTTTTTGAAATTGACGTAAATATTTACTCTTGTTCTTTTTGTGTTGTGACTAGCAAATAAAAATTAATAACTTACTTTGTAGTCTCTTATTATGGTTTTAAAAATGTATTACCTATTTAATATTTAGTCCGATAGAATAAATATTTTACTCACTTATTCTTTAATCGTAATACTTTATTATTGGTCTTGAGTATTCTCAAATCTAGAATTTTATTGGATGGCATAAATAGCCAAGCCATTTGATGGATTTTTTTTCATGAATTGTATTGTGTGTAATATATCATTACTCTATCACAGTATAGGCTCAATTTCAGGTGTATTGGGAAATGCCCACACTATAAACTTTATGTGTTAAAGAGTGTTTTACGTTAAGTTCATAGACTCTCACAATTTAAATATCTCTGACTTGAGTATATCTAAAATTAAACTCCTAAATTATTATTTGTTTTTAATTAATTTTATTGTATTGTAAATGTTATGTAATTATTTCAGGTTTTGGTGTGGACCAGTTAAGAGATGATTGTATGGAAACTTATTGGCAGTCAGATGGCCAACTTCCACATTTGGTTAATATTCAATTTAGACGTAAGACAGTTGTGCGTGATATATGCATTTATATTGATTATAGATTAGATGAAAGTTATACACCTGGTCGTATATCAGTACGTGCTGGTACTAATTTCAATGACTTACAAGAAGTTGAGGTAGTTGAACTGAACGAACCAAATGGTTGGGTAAGAATAATGACTAAAGACATCAATGATTTACCATTAAAAACTTATATGCTACAAATCGCTGTTATTACCAATCATCAAAATGGAAGAGATACACATATGAGACAGATTAAAGTACACTCGCCAATTGAAAAGAAGGATCTTCTCATTGGTAATTTTAGCACTGTTGAAATGAGACAATATACAATCATAAAATAAATTATTTTGTTTTATTATTTGATTGCTAACATTTATACTATAATTTACAGTATAATATTACTATAGAATAATTAAATTACAATGAAAATATTTGTATAGTCACTAAATGCTAAGTTGATTTTTGACGTAAAATGTTAACATTTTTACTTAGTTATTATATTAATTATTATTATTAAGAACATACAAATTATTTTTTCATTATATCATGACAATTTTTCAAATTTTTTCTAAATATCAAAAAAATATTTGTTAATATATTATACCTTTTCTTATACTGATTTTTATTATTTATTATTTATTTAATTCTTATATAATTTTGTATAATAAATTATGACAAGCTTTTGACCATTCTATTTTCCTTAGATCATTACACTCTACCTTTCTAAGATCCATCTTGGGATAAGTATAGTTTTAACTATAATCTGTCAAACAAAAGAACCAATGATTGTGCACATCTTCATGGAATTCCCTACCATCAAAATTGGTTTCATGATTGTAGAGTATAGGAGCATTGAAATTTGACTTCTTTGGCTAACTTGATGAATTTCAATTCCTAGATTATGGTTATTCCTTTAATTAAACAGCTAATCTATCTTTTATTTCTAAAATATTAAATAATTTTATAAATTTTCCTTTGATTTTGACTGAAATTAATTTATCATGTTTTTATTTCAAATTTACCATTTCTAAAATGTGATTCTGTTATACATTCTATTCCATACCGCTGACTATGAATGTTAATTATTTAGTTTTATGCTATGTATTAATGTACTTTTAACAGTAAAACTTTAAAATATTAATAATTAAATAATTGTATTTTTTAAATGTATTTATAAAATAGTGTTAAAACAGTTTACTGATAATAGTTTTTTTTTATAAATAGTTTGAATTATTTTATTTACTAGAAATTGTTTAATTACGAAATAAAATATACTTTATATCATCCATGTCAGACTTAATTTTAGTATGATAAATATTATATACCTACCCTATGCTTACAATTAATCATTACTATATTTTTCTGACAAAAAAGTTTCAATTTTAATTAATTTAATTTATTAGTTTATATTATTTCTTGTATAAATAAACAAACAAATAATCTAGCATACTTTAATGAATTTAGAATTGTAGAACTTTGAAATTTGCAGTAATAAATCTTATGTAATATGGATAAAACTCCTTTGAACATATAAAAAAAAATCTTAAGTTATAGATACTAGTTGCATGTAAAATTGTAAATAATTTTGTATGTACAATATTATATTTGTACATGATAGCATTTTTATCATTCAATAAAAAAAAATTTAAACATTGATTTTTTTTTTTTTCATTATAATAATTAACCTGAAATAAAGCAATAATAAAAATATAAATACCATAAAGTGTTAATATAAAATAAATAAAATTATATAACCAGGATAGTTGTATTTATTTGTATGCATTGTATCTGTATGCATCTGATAGTTATGAAACACTTATTATTATCATTTCAGGTCCTTAGGTGAAATACTCAAAATAGCTATAAATATATAATATTCCAAAAGTTAATTTAAAAATTAAATTTTTTCTGATTATGAAATAAAATATTTAAAAAACTTTCTGAAAAGTAGGTTGTAGCACAAAAACCCGTCTTTTTATAGTTAAGTTTAAATCTATAGTTTTTATAAGTCTTAAAATTCATAAAATAAATACACACATGGTCATATAGGGTGTTTCATTAAGAACGCCGGATTTAAATTGCGAGTTGGCTGACCTGTTTTTTTTGTAAATATCATCGGTTATCTTTACGCTAGGTTACGTTAAAGGTCACGTCTATGAAAATAAACCGCAAACCATTGAAGAACTTAAGGATATTTTTTTTGTGGCCAGAACTGAAGCTTGCCAGCGAAGCAGAGGTGTACATATGCCAGATATTATATTCCATACATAAATCAGAGTGTATATATTTCATGCTCAAATAATTTTTTTTATTCTTAATCTTAATATTAATAAAGTAATAACGAAATCAAATCCAGCATTTTTAATGAAACCCCCTATATAAGTATACATGTTTTACATTTTTATATGATAATTTTATATACAAAAAAAACTAGCATTTTATTTTTATTTAAATTCCTTTATAAGTTGTACCTAACCTACTTTAAAGTTCATAAAATGTATCACAAACTATCATGTTTGTTAACAAATTAATAATGTTGTATTAATAAAATTAATTCTATATGAGAGTCTGGTAAATGGAAAATTTTGAATAGAATTTTTTTTTTTTAAATAATTACAATTTATCAATAAATTATTATAGCTTTTAATAGTTTTAAAAATAAAACAGAATCATTTTACATTTACATAAACATATAATTTTACCAACATTAGGTCAAGAACATTATCACAGAAACATTTAAAACAAAAATAAAACTTTAATACATTAAATTACAATTTCTTTGTCTTAAGATCACTTAAAAGTGTACATGTTGTATTCTAGTTCCAACGTGAGTATCAGTCAAACCAGGAATAATAGGAGTAATTATAACATGAAACTTTAATGGAATCCTATCAGACATAAAGTATGAAACATTAGTATCAAGTATATGAATCAAGTCTTCATTAGTTGTTGGTTGGTTCACTGCATCATACACCATCAAGTCATCAATATTTATCATATTTTGATTTGTATCAAACAATACAACCTTTTGTACAACAGTCACAACATGAACAATTTTATTCTGAACGGCGTATATCAAAATAGCAACACGAACATGACGGGCAACTTTTCCAATATCTTCCGGTCGTAATTTCATTTTAATTGTTGCTCGCACAGTTTTGATTATTACTTCTGGTAATTCAATTGAACCACGCCAAGACACCAACATGCCTTTGCCAAAACACATACCTTTCAAGAACATTTCTATTTCCTATTTAATAAAAAAAAAAAAATTTTAATTTGCAATAATTATTGACTGTAATTTAATTGTACAGACCCAATTTGATTCTTCATTAAGTTCTCGTTCTCGGTCAAAAAGATTACTACAGGTCACAATTTCTCGCTTGATAGATTGGTAGTTTTGGATATATTTTGTGCGTACTCTAAAAGAATTTCCCCATCGTTCACAAGTGTACAATCTTGGTGTACATTCTAATATATGTTCAGTATCTGACCGTTTTTCTTAAAACAAAAAATAAAGTAACCAAAATAATATGTTAATAGTTAAATTGTAAATAATATACCCATTTTAATTAAATTGTATTCCATGGCAGCAGCCATTTTATCGACAAAAAAGTCTTTATTCTGTTTGACAACAGGTACCATTAACAATTGGGCCATTTGTCTTGGAAGAATCATTGGGTATCTAATATATGACATGACATGTTCTGTTAAGGAACTCATGTAATCTTCAATTGGGTCTGAATCATTGCATTCGAGTAGTTTTTCAGCCGACTGATAGTTCAACCATGATGCAACACATCTATGATACAGTGATATATTATAATATTTTTAAAATGTCATCAATAAGTAATATTCAGTGACAAAATCAGAAAAGGGACTAAGCCCTCATTTTTTTAAAAAAATTTCAACAATAATTAAAAAAATAAAACATTTTATAAATTTTACTACATCTTTACTTTTAGATTAATACCAAGTAAAAGATACCTATTGTTTATTATAGATTTTACAATAAATGATTTATTAACTTCAGAAAACAGATAAATTATTAATATTCCACATATTACACATATTAAGATAACACACAATACTGTCAATAGAAGAATACTTATCAGTTAATTATTTGTATAATATTTAAATATATAATGTATAAAATTGCAGGGTAAAGCTCTCGTGGTTCATATTTAGCTGATAATATTATAGTATGGCTCTACTTCTTTTCATCCGAGATTTACAAGGTTAATAATATTAAAATAAAATTTAAAAAATTACCCAAACAATTGCATTTCATCGTGTACCACAAGATCAGACTGTTTCAATAGCCCAACAAGAATATCACATTGAAATGTATTAAAACATTTTGTGCAAGAATCAAGATTCCATTTGATATAATTTCTGCAGGCCTAGTTGTTTAATTTATATTAGTATTATTATTTTATACAGGTAATATAAATTATAATTTATTCATAGAAATTGTTAAAAAAATTCAGATTATAATCTTACTTTGAGTAATCTATTCCACGGTGGCTTGATTTCCATACACTCAGTATCTTGCCAAATTTTACAATAATACAAAGCCTGAAACAAATTTTTGAAAATTATACTTTAATTAAAGTTTGTAAATCATAAATAATAATTGAAACTTATTTCATTCATACAATAACAATATAAAGTTAAAAAATTAAAAATAAGAACTAAACATATATTAACAAATAGAAAATAAAAAATAAAACATTCAAATAAATACTTATTACTAATAAGTTATTGGGAATAAAAATCATAAATTGAGTAATTATATATAATTTGAGTGAGTATAAATTGTAAATGATCATTCATATGAAATTGACAAAAACATTGTTCATGTATTATAATAGAATCAATTAGATAAAACAGTTATATTTACATTAATTGTAGTTGGTTGGTTTAATGACAATACATATTGAAACCAAGTTACTAATTGACCCTGATCAGCAGCATCAGCTATATGTTCACACATATACTCAACACATAGTGTTGTAAGATCCTAAAATAGATATGTTAAATTAATGACATTTTGTTTAAATAACTGATGTATGAACTATACAGTATACCTTGACATTATACTTGTCAGCCAATACTAGCATTGGCATAATATTAGATTGCTCAAGAGTTATTACACCTGTATAAAAATATTGGAGAAAAACTGGAAATACTTCGATACACTGTTGCACTTCTTGTAGCTCAATAACTTCTTGATGTGAGTCACTCCATGTTGAGTTCATCAACATGGTCTATCAAAGTATTATAATAAATAAATAAAATTTTACAGTTTAATTATTTTTTTTATTGAAAATTACCTCAAATACATCGCTGGATATACATAACATGAAACGGTGAGCTGGATATGATATTCCACCCACAACAAGGGTAATATCATTTAATAGTTTGTTAGCATAAACATTTTTAATTTTTTTCAATAGAGCATTTGAATTATCATTCTAAATGTGAACATATATTTATTTTTTTTAAATCACAATATACTGACAGTTTAACATTTTTATATTGGTAACTCACAACATTAGGCATCGCATATGAATGATCCATTTCACATTCAGCAGACATTCTTCGTCGCTTCATTCCCAATCAATAAAATTAATAAATGCGTTAGAAGGAATATTAAATATTTTGAAATTAAACCATCATATCTACTATCTACAAACATAAATCATAATATTTATAATAATTAGTGATGCAAAATTTGGTTTTTTGTTACTAAAAACCTAAAAATCCATTTTTTGATTTGATTTAATTTATTACTACCATAGAAAACATATCTATAATTATTACAAATTATCAAATTTCTTATCAATCCTGAGATAACATAATCAACAGAAAAACAAAATAAACTCAACAATAATAATCATTAACGGCATTAACCAGTCATTACTCATTAGTCAATACTCAATAGTCATCGCCCAGCGGCAATCGTGATTCGTGATCACTGGGCACAGTGGGTACTCTTCTATTTAGAAAAATCACTTGGAGATGTGAAACAAATAACAATATGATTATCTTAAATATATTTTAATTTTAAGTACAATTATTATTTATTATATCTAATTGGCAATGGCTTTTATTTTTTATTATTTTCCAAATAATATAATCAATTCAAAAAACAAAATATAATTTAACAATTATAATGATGTTCACCCATTACATGCTTTCAAACTACAATAATTGTGCCAATCATTTTTTGATATCTAAACAATTAAGTTTAACTGTTTACTGCTAGCATATTATTAATGATTACCACCTAAATTTTAACTAATACAAGCGCAAAAAAAAAATTATTATACAAGTTTACTAACAGGGTATTTTGCTTATGTCACTAGCTGTTGAGTATCAAATGACTAATAGTGTCAAAAACAAAATTATGAATATGATTTTGGATTTAAAATATTGGCAGCATTTGAAAACATTGGAGTCTGCAGATACTAAACGATTCTTGTTTCAATAAACATAGTTAATGTTTAAAACTGTTCCTATTCTGTACAGGGCCAGACAGTGATGGCACTATGTATTTTGAGGCCCTGGGCAAAATTTTTGGGGGGGCCCTTGATGATTATGGAAGTAGACAGTAAATACTTACACTTGATCTTTAGTTTTATAAAATAGCTGATAGTTTTTAGACACATTTTAGATATCAATTACCAGTTAACAATAAAGATTAATTTTAATATTCCTAATTAACAATTTATTAGATATAAATATATAATTAAAATTAAAACATTTTTATGACAATTAACATATTTTTGTTCATAATTTTATTGATTCTACTACTTATATTAATTTATAAAATGTATCTTTTTATAAAATATACATATATATTAGATTCATAGTTAAGTATATTTAAAAATAATTAGTTATTGAATACAATTGATTTTAAAAAATGATGAAGCTTATATCAAAATAAATCATGTACAACAAAAAAATTATATTTATTTAACTTTTTAAAGTTATAAAATAAAAACAAAATAGTCAGTATATAAAAAAGTTATATATATTTATATATTTATGTGTAGTTAGTAATTTAAAATATTCTAAAATAAATATAATTTAAGGGTATTCGTACTTTATCGGTTGTTATTGTTGATCGAAGTGTGATGTATTTATATTAGTATATTTTATAGTCTATAATTGGTATTTCAAGTACAAATATTAATTTTATTTTTCCTGTATAATTACAAACTATGCACGTTGGCTACATTACTTATTTATAAAAAATTGTACTTAAGTTACATGCCATAAATTAATTTTTTTTTCTGCGTGCCATAAAATTATGAAAAACAAATAATTAAACATGGGGCCCTGGGCATTTGCACAGAATCCCCCCTTCTAGCACCATCACTGGGGTCAGACAGCCAGACATAGAGATTTCAAATTTGTTCCAGCCCTAGCCCCTATTAAAACAAATTGTGAGATTACTATTTAAATTTTGAATAGAGTAATTGATTTTACTACGTTTTTATATATTTTTATACATTTTTTTGTGCGTATTCCATAAACCTTTGAATAATAATCAAACAAAAATAATTATAAATGTGTTAAAAAATTATTTTTTAAATTTTATATTTGTATTACACTTAAAAAATTAAATTAAAAGTTTATCTATATGAAACAATATACTTAAAGATAGTTTTTATTTTTAATTTATTGTATAATAAACTATTATTATTTAGACTGATCATAAAAATCTATTCTATATTTCATTTTAAGATTATGTAGTTGATCTTAATATATATTTCACCGCAATCTGATTTTTTATTTTTTTGTAATAGCATTTCTATTAGTTAAATAAAATAAACAACATAGGTACGATACAATATAATTTATAAGGAATATTATTAATCCATTACAATCTATATTCTATCTAAGAGCTTAAATTTGGAGCAACCACCCAAGATTTTATCGTTAACTTGCTAGTTTAATCTAGATCTGATTCTATATAAAAATAATATACAAAATAATGTTAATAAAATATAATTTTATTTATGAAAATATCAATATGTTTAAAATTAATTTTGAATTTAAAACAAATATTTCCTTAGTGTTTTCTTCGATATGAACATCCTGAAAAATAATAATAGGAACATTAATCAACAATAATTTATATTTAAGAGGATTTTATTACTCATCAATCATCACAGTAATACCCCAAATATTTTCTCTCGCTGAACTACACAAATTTAACTAAGCAACTGTGTTGAGCAGAATTAATCTTGTACTTTCATACTTTAATACTAGAGTTAACTTGTTATAAAGATATGAATATTATCTGTGTTTGTACAATGGATTATAACAATATTTAAATTTCTATACAAGCTGCGAGTATGTAAAATATAACAATTTAAAAGTGCTAATATATAACTAATTCACAGAACTTAGATAAAAACAAGTTCTTAAGTTTAAGCACCAGAGAGAAAACAAATACTGTACTAACATTTTCTTAAAAATAATAAAAACTAACAGATTATGAATTATTATTTTTAATTTGTATTTTTGAAAAAAAAATATTTAATGAAATTAAATAATTACCATCAGACAATTTTCCTTTGCCTCCAGTTGGTCTGCAAAGTACTATTAAACAACCATCACACTTCACATTTTCTTGAACATGACTAAAAACTGTTTTAATCTTGTAGCAACCTGAAATTTAATTATAAATATAATATACAATAATTTTCATTCAAGTTTAACATCAATTAAATTAAATTATACTACCTGGACACTTGATATCCATAAAATATGAATTAGGACGAGGTACAAGTCGTTTCAATTTGTGAGTTCGTAAATCTTCTACAGCAGATGGATGAAGTATACTTTTTGCTAACTAAATAAATCATTTTTATTAGAATCTATTTAAATAACATTTAATCTTATAATGTGAATTTATGAATCATTAAAAATTTGACAACCTATTAAGAAATAGGTACATGGTCAACCTATCATAGTTTATGTTAACAATTGCTTAATTACAAATATAGACATTTAAGAATTAACTGAAATATTTTCCAAAATATTCTGATAAATAAATTTTTATGATTTACTATCAGAACATACCTACCTACTACATGTATACAGAATATTATGCCATTACATGCATAGCGATTCCAAGCTTTAAATACATAAAAAAATAATGAGGAATTTTGTTTTAAAAATTTGGATTAGAAATAGATATAGAAGTAGTTATAGACAAGTTAAATTAGTTAAAAAACCTTATGCTGATAAAAATATACCTTGCACATAATAGCTAATAAATATTTTTTTCATAAAAAGTTACTAACAAATTGTTATATTAAAATATAAATTGTGATTTTTCTTACACTTTTTCTCTTTACAGAGAACACCTAATGAGGATATAAAGCAATTTAAAAACAAGAAAAAAAATATTAAAATAATTTCTTAAATATAAACATTATCAAGGATTGAGTAACATGTGTTAAAATTATAAATACATCTATAAATTAATTGTGATACATTAAATTGTATAAGATGAATTTTATTTGGTTAGCTTTAGTAGTTAAGCAAGAGTGGATCTGAGTGGAAACTGATTTTACTTCATTTTTATGTTTGAATAACTTCCTAAAAGTTATTAAATAATGATTTGCCAAAGGCAGTTCTCACAACCTTCCAATTAATGAAAAGTATTAAAAATTGTCCATAGTTATGAATTTGTACACTAATACACATTCCATCCCACACTTTTATATCTCAGTACATACATTTTAGTAAGATTTAAAATTGATATGTCTTAAATATCAAGTAACTGTCTATTGGTAGTAGGGACTGTAGGAATTCAATATTAAGGTGTTATTTTAACTATTTATCTCAAACTGAGTGTTACCATTAATTAAAAATACTTTTGTTAATTAAACTCTATCTCGAAATTTTAATATAAACACAATATATAAATTAAATTGAACGAAGGTTAACAAGAACAAATTACAATAACATAAAAATATTTTGATATACTTACAGGCATTTTAAATCAATACATATATAACTGTTTACTAGTCAAGAATCACTGAACTTTCCAAAATCATTCACAAAAGCTAGTTGGCAGTACGGGAAAAACTGCAAAATTTCAAAATCCTAAAAAACGTGCAAAGTCAATCGGCAAACTGTCAGTAGTCAGTGTGCGTCGTGCGTAAGCTGAGCTTTGTAATAAGTATTTACTTTGCACAAATAATGATTAGACATTCACTTCACAATTTCATATACATGAGATTGTGAGAATATTGTTGCACTACACATGCACTATATCAATATTCACTATATTGTTTTTATATCTAAATCTATATGGTATTTAGCTTTGTATATTACACTCATAGACCTTATCAAAAAAAATCATGTGTATGAAGTATGAAACGTTTTTGGTTATTTCATATGAAAGTCGTGTCCTAACCTTAACTGTGGTAATAAACTTATTTTGTTTAATTTTCTTTTGATAAATGTCGATCGAATGAAAAACGTTTTGAATTCTGAGATGTTTTCAAACGATTTAGTAAATTCTTAAAACCTTTATAGTCATCGAAGTAATAAATTGCTCATTTTCAATTTTAAAACTATTTTTTCCGAATTTATTGTCAAAAACCATTATGGTAACGTTCGGTTTAATGTAAAGCTCCTCCCATTTATACCGTGGTCAGACATAACCTTTATTCATTTCAGTCGTCGTGCAGCTTGTTTACATTCTGCAAGTCGGCCGTACCATTCTTTTAGTTTTTTTCCGTCGTGTAACACTAACGTTAAAGACACAAGATGGGTAAGTAATTTTTATCCATTTACATCCGCTTTAATATTTGGTTTACACTTATGAACTATTCGTTTTCAATTAATGTCGTATCGATCGTAACGATTTTTTTCGTCCTATTTGGGCTCCGATGTTTCGCGAATATATCAAATACTTAATTTGCAGTTGTGTATAGTAGATACTCGTGCCACCCAATAACATCTACTTATTTCATTTAAGGTATATCCCGTGATACATGGCATAAACGCAGGAAGACCGGAGGCAAACGCAAGCCCCTCCGCAAGAAGAGGAAGTATGAGTTGGGACGCCCGGCTGCCAACACCAAGGTATGATATTAATTGATTGTTCTAAGTGTAAAATCCGTGATCTTCAATCATTTTATACGTAAACTAGTTAGGTTTACATACAGTAAATCAAACATAACAGTCAAATCTTTCTATTTCGATACATATTTAAATTGCATTAACGATGAGTCTAGAAATAAAATGTTAATGACTATTATTTTTCACCTTTAACATTCTGATATGGTTTTTAATTCACGTTTAATAAGTTTATTTTATTGTTGTGATACTTGGAATGTACATAATTTGTTTGTATACTACAGAACAATTTTTAATTTTAGCATAAATGATGAGATTTTTTGTCTGCATTTTTATGGAGATATATTTAATATTTTTCACCTCTAACGTTCTGATGTGCTATTTAATCAGTTTTTAATTTAAGTTTATATTAATGTTGTGATACTTACATGATGCACAATTTGTTTTTTATGCTTTAGAGAAATTATAAATTCTAGCATTAATGATGAGACTTTCTATCTGCATTTTTTATGAAGATATATTTTAATATTTTTCACCTCTAACGTACTGATTTGCTGAATTTATAATCTATTTTTAATGTATGTTATAAGTTTTTATTGGTTAAGGTTTATTGTTAGGATTATAGTAATTTTACATATTATAATTTAAAGACAGAGTTTTTATGATGAGACTTGTATCCGAAAGTTATTGAAGATATTTATTTTTATTTTTCACCTCTAACGTTCTGATTTTCTGTCTACAAATATTTAAATAACAAATACATTTTATACTATATGGTAATGCACATATGATGAGATTTTTCACTGAATAATAAATGACGATATTTATTATTTTTCACCTCTAACGTTCTGATGTGGCCATGATTTCAGAATTATTAATTATATAAAAAAAATTTATTGACCAATGTTAATTTGCTGTCTTTTCTAGGAATAAGTTTTTAATTCCAAATTTTATTAAACTGTAACTTAGTCAATTTTTGTCTATTTATGATGAGTTCAATTATAATGAAGAATTAATGATTAATTTAATTTATCCGCTTATTAATATCCTGAAATAGACTAGTTTTTGTTTTAATTCCATAATTTTATTCAATAACAATTTTGATAAACAAAAAAGAACAAATACTTATTTAGCCAAAAGTAAATGAATTTCAAATATATCTGCTTATGGTTATCCTTCAATCATTTTCAGCCTTTTTGTATTGTATAATTAGTAAATAGTTAAGTTTCATCATCATAATTTTTAGTATTTAGCAAAATGAGAACTTAATTCCAAATCTATGAATTATATATTAAAAAGATTTATTTAATTTATATGCTTTTATTAATAAATGTTAATTTAGTTTTTAGTTTTAACTTTATTGAGTTGTATCTTATATTAATTTTTGTCTATTTATGATGAGATCAGTTATAATGAAGAATTAATGAATAATTTAATCTATCCGCTTATTAATATCCTGAAATAGACTGGTTCTTTTTTTTTTTTTTTTTTTTTTTTTTTAATTTAAAAAAAAAGCTTATTCATTTAGAAAAAAGCCTTATTTATAATGATAACTTGAACTTTAAAATGATTAAATGATTAGTAAATATTTCTGCTTATTAATATTCTAAAATAGACATATTTTATCATTTAAATTTATATGTTATATATCAGTTTCATTAAATCATTCTTTTATTTTTAGCTTGGAGCTCGCCGTGTACACATTGTTCGTACTAGGGGAGGTAACAAGAAATACAGAGCATTAAGATTAGATCAAGGAAATTTTTCATGGGGTTCTGAAGGTATGATAATGATCACTATAAAATGTAATTATATAATTTTTTTAACATTAAATTTTATTTTTATTTAGGTATTTCTGCTAAAACTCGTATCATTGATGTTATCTACAACGCATCAAACAATGAGTTGGTCAGAACCAAAACTTTGGTTAAAAACGCTATTGTAGTCATAGACGCAACACCATTCCGTCAATGGTATGAAGGCCATTACGCTTTGCCTATTGGAAGAAGGAAGACTACAAAATTAGTACGTATTTACTTTATATTAAATATTTTTTAGTGAACTTTATTAACTCATAGCTCTGTGATGAACCTTCATTTTTGATAGGAATTGCCGTCTGATTAACTGATGACCGTGTACTATCTGAGAGCATAGTTGAGTTTTCCATGTTATATCTAATTCATATAATCAAAATATTTTTGCATTTTAATGATGAGTAATATTTCGGTTCCTGATAAAATCATATGAGGATACAATTTATTCCGCAGCGCTCTGATACTAAATTTGAAATCAAAAAATCTGCTATGATGAACCTTACTGATAGGAATTGCCGTCTGATAATTGATGACCATGTACT